CCTGCAGGAGTTCCAGGCGCTGCGGGAATGCTTCGCCCGGGCGGTACGGCTGTGTCCCAGTCCCCGCCCCAGCTGCGATGCCGGTGCCGGCGGAGGGAGGCGGCCTCGGCCCGTTCTGACCGCGGCTCTTTGCAGGCAAAGGCGACACCGACGTGACCCCGGAGCCGCCCCCGCCTGGACGCGCCCGGGGACATTAAAAGCCTCAAATCCATCGGTTTGTCCTCAGCTGACGGAACCCCCCCGAGTCCCGGAGCTGCTCACCCGCTCCCCGGCCCGGAGGAGCTGCAGCCCCGGGCTGGGTGAGGGTCACAGATCTATTTTTATTTATTAAAAAGAAGAACATAATTCAGAGCAGAATGCTTCAGCTTATTTTATTGATGGGCTCAGCCCGCGCTCCGGGCTCTCCCTCCCAGCGTTCCACCCGCCCCGGGGCAGCCGTTCCCGGCGGGACAAGGCCAGCTTCCAGCCCAGCCCGGGGTGCCCACGCCATTCCCAGGAGCAGGAATGCCAGGAGCGTCTTTGGTCCCTTATGTTCACACAGAGAACAACAAACAGGCGGCTCTGACCCCGCGGGGCCGGAGCCGGCAGCACAGGGAATGAAGGAGCCGATCCGGCTCCCTCTCCTCGGTGCCACAGCCCGGATCCATCTCCCCGGGGCAGACCTGGAGCGCTCCAGACCCATCCCTGCCTCTCGGAGCAGCTCCGGGCTCCCGGCCGCGGTGCTTGTGCTTGACGACAGCGTTAATGGAGAAGCTCCTTGGGTTCGGGGGGTTTAAGGCCACACTGTTCTGGGGGGTCTTCCCAAAGGACTCCCGAGGTGGCTTCCCTGTCACTGTGGGTTGTGACACCCCGGGAGCACCAGGCAGGGACAGTCCCACCCCGTCCCAGCTCTGCAGGGTCCCACTGGACACAGTTGCCAAAGACATTTGGAGGACATTTGGATATAAAACCCAGCACAGTGATGAGGTCTGAGGGCTCCAGGCTGGGGATTCTCAGCCGGTCTAGGGAGAGCTTTGGGATTGAATTCTGTACATTCGCCGGTCAGGATGTAAAAACACAAAAACACCCAAGGGATGAAACACTGGGAACCTGACACAACACAGAGCTCTTGGGGAAGCTCTTCCCTTCCTCATTCACCAAGCAAATTTGCAGAGGTGGAGCAGGGACCTGTCTGGGTGCAGAACAGGGCAGGGGGAGGCTGGGAAGAGCACATGGAACACAGAAGAGGGAGGTGGAGCCCCTGGATCCACCTGGCTCTGCCATGTTTCTCCCCAGACCACTCACCTCTGGCAGAAAAATCAAGCTGGGTTGGGAAGGGTCAGGGGGAAGTTGAGCTTCTTAATGCACTTTTGAGAGGGGGAGTGGAGCTGGAGAGCACGGAGAGGAGCACCTGGGGAGGGCAGCGGGGGCAGAGCCCAGTGTGTGGCCAAGGAATCCCATCCCTGGGAGAGAGGCAGCACAACGGGAGTTGTGCCCGGTTAAGGCAGCGTTTCTACTAAATGAGGTTCCCAAACCACCACTGTGTCCCAAACAAAAGAGGCTCTGCTCCTGATCCAGCACTTGGCTCCACTGGTTCTCAGCTCACAGCTTCTCTGGGGTAAAGCCCTTCCCAAGGTGCGGATCCCAGGTCCCCTCGGCCAGAGGAGTTGGGAGATGGTTGGAGAAGGCAATTGGATATGAATGAGATGCTGGAAAAGGTCCTTGGAGCAGCGGCCTGGCAGGGAGCTGAGGTGGATGGCAGCTCTGGAAGGCAGGGGACAGCAGGAATGTCATTTCCAGTGCCTCCATCTGGGCACCCGCAGGCACACACGGGGGTGCTGCTGTGGAAGCCCCCAGGGCGGCGCTCAGGGATCCAGGGCGATCCTGTGGATCCGAGCGCTGCGTCCAGCAAAGCGCTGCCGGCTCAGATCTCTCCGTGCCTGAGTGACACCGCCGAGCCCGAGCGCTCCCTGTGGAGCCCTGTGGCCCCGTCACGGGCTCCTGTCCTGTGCCAGCTGCTGGATGTGGCGGCTGCGCACCAGGGGCTGCGCGCCCTCGGCC